TAAATATGTATACAACGCTCGTTTCTTCAAATGATAATTTCTAAATGAAAGGTGTACAATTTGTTTTACATGAATACTACCTATAATAAAAAACGCTTGAGCATATCTACGGCCACCTGTTCACATATGCGACTTTTTCCTAAGTTTTTCATTAAAAGAATTTATTGTACTCTAGATCCTTTTAAAAAACATTTTCATATGGATTACCTAGGTAAGTACCTTCTAATATGACGTCATGTTTCGGAATAGTATAATGTAACTTCATACAGTATCAAATTGATAAAATTAGCTATGACTAAAATAGTGTTCTCTGCTTCTATGGTGCTTTCTCTGTAAGCAGAAAAGTTATTTCTTATTATTGAGTCATTCACATTCTGTTTACTTCTCTATATAGATTTTGATTTAATTTTAGTGAATGTGATGTTGATGAAAATAAAAAGTGAAATCTCCATTGAGTTTTCGTTGTTGCTGCGTATTCATTACGTATGGTTTCTGTGTGTTATAAGTTGGTGTTTCGATACATCTTCTAATTGCTTGTGGAATTAAATTTGCGGATTTGAAAAGTCAACAATGGTATAATGAGGAAATAATGAGAAACCTATGTGGTTTTATTAAAGATAATCTAGTTGATTAATAGTCTCGGTAACCATGAGACAATTTCGAATCAAAGCAGAATTATGTTATACTAATTCGTCATGTCGATGCGATTATAATTTTTCGAATGAAGAAAAACGTTCATTTGAAATTTGGATAGATAAATGAAACAAAGATAAAAAGAATTCAGCTTTTCATCAATTTTTTCAATAGAAATATAGGTGATCATGAAGTTCTAGTGGTGATGGCCATGTTTATGAATTTCGAGGTTGTTTATCTCTAATTCGAAGCAATTTATCTTTGCTTTATCAATTCAAATGGATTAATAATCATACAAGAGCCATTCTAATTCAATTAAATTTGTTTAATTGAAATGTTGCTTCATTTACTTCAGCTGCATTTTTCATTGAATTTTTATCAACAGGTGGAATTTACCAACAATTTCGTTTTTAATCAACAATTTTGGTCATTAATTGAACTAGATCTGATCATATGTTCATGTCTTGATGTCGAAGTTTATGTATTGACGTCGTCGAAAATGTGATCATTATATTAAATTATTAAAAGAAAATAATGGATATGGTTATAAAAATTTACAATTGTCAATATAAATAAATGATCTTTTAACATTTTTTATTTCTCATTTTTGTTGCTTTTTTGTCGGTACAATTAAATAAATTCGTCTTCATCGATTAAATTCTCGTCTTTGCTTATATCTCCAAACTCTTCAATGTGAAGAAAAAGAATTAATTTCATTTGCAATGACGTTCTCAATTATATATTGCTAGCATTTCGTTTTCTTATTTATTACAAAAATTTCATCTTCTTCAACTTTCTTACATATACCACAAATATTGTTTGAAATGACATTAACGCGAAATTTGATTCAATGGATTTAACGGATGTAGCAGCATTTCTTGGCACCATTTTCTTTTAGTTCATTTATTCTTTTGGTTGTTTTGGTTTGTATAAGTATATTCTTATCGATTATCAATGAAAGTTTTCGACGAGTAAGAAAAAAATATTTATAATAATAATAATCATGATCAAGGAATATATTTATTTAGATTAGGGACATTTTTACGGTGAATTGGTACGTGAGAATTTTGTTCAGTTATATTCATTTTCAAGAGATTTTTAGATTTAAAAAATAAAATGAAAAAGATACTCTTCGTGCATTAAAAAATACTTCTTTTGAATGTAAATTTAAAGAGCAAGAAGAATCTTTTTATTCATGATGATTAGTATCATCAAATATTTTATTTAAAAACATTGTGAAAGTACATAAAAAATGGGATGAATTTAATAAAATAAGCGTCATTTTTTCTTTATTCCTTATCACTGTCATTATCTTCATCTTCATCTCCTTCATGCGAAACCCCATCAAAATATTTCAAATAAAATGTATTTAATGTTGGTAATAGTTTAGGATTTGTTAAGCCGAAATGAGTTAACATAACCGGCTTTATGCCTTGAAACATAATTTGTTGATTATCGATAATTTTAATGCTTAATCTATATCGATTTTTATCTTTAGATAACTTCGCCAAATTCAGTATGATCGGATTATATAAGTTACTACTTATATCGACATATAAATAATTCATAATCGTTTTTCTCTTTTTTTGCTCCTTGATGTTGAAGTCATATGCGTACCATTTAAAGATACATTTTTCATGGAATAATTTAAACTAACAACGTCGGATTGTAGTTCAATAATCGAAGATAATTTAATATAAACAGATTGAATTTGATTTGATACTGCCATTGATCAAAATCAATCAGAAAATTCCAGTAAATAAAATCAACAAGAAACTGTGATCGCTCTCTAATTCAGGTGAATATTTTTTTTCACTTACAGTGGTTCGTAATATATCATTTGATAAATAAAGAACAGGAATGAGAGTAAGTTCACTTAAATATATAAGTAGAATAGAACGAGGAAATAAAAGAAAATTCTTATATCGATCATACTAAATATGCTTACTGTAAAAATAATTCTAATACAAATTGAGATGGAACTTTTTGATCATCTTTTTTCATTGGCAAAAAAAAAGAAACATTTTCACTAGTTTTGAAAATATCAGTATCAAATTGAACATGTTTTCGTTTTTATATAGACAAAATTTACAATAACAAAATGAGTAAAACATGATAAATGTGATCCTAGAGTCAAAGTTGAATCATTTCCGAAACACGTCGTAATCGATAAGGTCGAAAAAGTGGATATTGATATAGTTGTCGTCGGATTAGATGTAGAAAACAAGGTGTGTTAGAATACTTCATGCTGAGAAAAGTGATTTGAAGCGAAACAAGTTGTTGCAAATGATCAACAAGAAAATAAATAAGATTAACAATACGTTTTGTAGACTTATTTTTACCGTCAACAATACGCAATGGCTTCCACGACCATTGTTCATATGAATCATGAATAATAAACGAAATTATTTTCAAATTAGGTAATCGATTCGAGACTAATGTACAAAAATGTTGAGCATTTTGTAATGTCTATGTCATATCGTCCATATAAAGTGATTGAATTTAATAAAGAGAAAATTTCATTTATTCAACAGAAATCAATAAATATAGTTATATAATCAATTTAAACTCTATACTAATCTTTTTTTGCTACTAACATTAAATTTCAATAACTGTTAGAAAAAAAATTTTCTTAAAATGAAAGATAAATATTAGTCAAATCACAACTTATAGATAAACTAATATCAAATAAAGTTTTATTTAAAATAGAAATCCTTACTTGTTGATTGACACGAGTTCCGAGATTAATATAGAACTTCTACTATTAACGAGCTGTGGAAGATTACTTCTGTTCTTATAACCACACAGGAATAATTCATTAGCATATGGAAACAAATCTACTGCATTAATCGACATTTGACAACATCTAAATATATAAAACAAAAAAGACTTCTATAGATCTTTCGAAGAAATAATATTATTTTAAATATACTTTTCGAGATCTGTAGAAAACAGGTCTGTTGAAAGCTTTGTGTCATTCTATGGTAGAGTGTATACCATGAAACAATGATAATCAAAACCTATATCAAAATTATCACGTTCTTGAATAAACATTCTTGGTTGTTATTGATTAGTAAATGGACATTTTAAAAATGAATTGAATATTATTTTTTGTTCCAAGTCATACTCAACATATAACAATAGATTAAGACTACAGGTTGCTGACGGTTTGAGACAATCGATACATAATTGTTGAATAATATCATCTGATATACACAATGGATCAGAATTTAATGTACACACTTCTAATTTTAATGACAAATGACGAAGTTGACCAAATACAGATGATAAAAGCCCAATAATTCGATGAAAACTGACGTTATTTGCGTAATCTATACGTAAACAAGACAGATACGAAAGAAGATGACTATCAACAGCAACAGGTAATCTAAAAGATTCAAATAATTAATAAATTGAAAGATAATAGAATGTTACTTACGAGTTTATATCCATGAACCTTTTACACCAATTGAAAGACTTTCGATAAATGGTATACAGGATAATAAACATTCGAGAAAACGTGATGTGTACATACCAACAGTCAATTGACGAAGATGATTTGTATTCGATAAATTTGGTAAATGTTTATCTGATTTTTTTTTTAACTTCGTGATAAATATTAAATGGAAGTCGACAAGTTCGTAGACAAGGCATTTTCGAACATACCTTTCATAAACAATACAAAAAAAATTGATTTTATACATAATAACATTAATAGATTTAGATTTGATCATGAACTGAAGAATTATTTGTTTCTTTTACCTTAGCTAGATAAACTCCTTCAACCTCAAGGCAGTTGAACAGATTAGATTGTGCTATATCAATTAATAAAGTATCTAATTGTTTTATTGAATGATGGCGCAATAGTTTATCAAATTCATGTGGTTGAATATCAATCAGATGAAGACGTCGAAGTAATGTTGTTTGATGATATTTTAGACATGATGAAACGAGTGACCATCCACCAATCATATCATTTAATGTTAGACGTAATGAGACAACTCGAGCTCCTATTAATTTCAAAACATTTCAACAAAGATTATTGAACATCGATAATGACATTGCTGAATCACTAATATGAATGTGCCATAAGTATTCATGTATAATAATTCTTGAAAAATATTTATTCAACGATAAAAATGATTGAAGAATATCAACAGAAGACAAATAATCAAATATTTCAAAAAGAATATCGACAGGTAACAATTGAGCTAACGATCATTATATTTTCATGTATCTTATTTATTCTTTTTAATATATACATATATGTGTCGATGTGGATAAATGATATTCATTCGACTATTTTGTTGGACGAGCATTGCTTTTTTATAATTACTCACCTTTATTCTTTATGAATTGACCTCAGCAAAAGTAGAAAAAAAAAAGCATTAACATTGCTAGTTATTCAATGTATATTTGAATGGTTAGAAAATGTCATTCGGTTGTTTTTATTTATTAGATTTTTCTAAGGGATAGAATTTCACCTTGAAATGGTATATAGGTAAACTTTTATAACAAAATAAAGTTTGCCGAAAATGCAACTTATTCATATGAATTAATATCGATTACATTCTAAAAAATAGATGTTCTATCGAACATGTGGCTTGTGGAAGAAAGTTTTTTGGTTTCATACGAAATAATCGAACTTGAAAAGGTTCGTCAATCTTGCGCGGGAGAACAAAAGATTGTTTCTATGAATACAGACTTAGTAACACTATTTTTTTTTTTACAGTGCATGATAATTTTCTCCTGTCAAATTTCGAAAGCTTCTAGAATTTTACCGACTTCAGATTTTATGACACAGTTAAAGTTGATCAAATGTGTGAAATCATAACCAGTAGGCATTCTCATTAATAACTCTCTTCATCACAATAAAAATAATAAACATACAATTATTTTTTTAATTATTTTTTTATATCACATTTTCTAATCGTCTAAGAAATAGAAAAGATAAATGTTTTCGAAATAACAGACGAAAATGAAAAGTTTTCAAGATAAGAGTTTTTGTTTATCATCCCGTAATATGTTCTATCGTACGAAGAATGTGTCTGTGCGATAGAAAAATTTTTTCGCACTCGCACTTTTTGTTTTTGGACTTATTTTCAAACAACATTTTGATTTGCTCACAATTAGAGATGTCGACTCAGCATCAGCATTGCATTAACTTAATACTAATTGCAATACTTTTGTGTAAGATCCTAATATAAAAATATTTCAGTTAGTATTATTTTAATCCAATGCTAAGACGACACTTATGATTTATCTAAGTTCACAGATTTTCAGAGTTCGATAGAATAAGATCCTCATAATTCATAGTCCCATTTTCAACGAAACTTATTTCGTTATAAAAGTTTTTCTATATACCTATTTGAAGAAAAGATCATATTTTCCTAAACAAAAAAAAACATTATTTGAAATTTAATTATTGACTTGAGATAAACATTAAGAAAAATATAAGAAGTGATTCTTTTCGATATAATAAAAGTATCAGTTTTAATCATTAACCAGAATTATGTTTAATGTCGTATAAAAAGACATGAAATAATTGCAAATAATATTTATTGTTTTTATTCTCACATGAATTATTTATATTGTTCTTTTTTCTTCAATATATTTATGTTGAAAGAACTATTTTACAGCAGTTCTATACATACATAGTTTGTATTCTTACTAATAATTGGTTGATAAATTATCAAATGATATAAAATAGATACAATAGGTCATTCAATTGATATTATTAACATTTCTTCTAATCTTTTATTGTTTCATGAAAAGCAATACTTTTGTTTTGATAAAGACAAAACAAAGAACAACAATGTCATCTATGATAAAAATCAATTAATTGACCAATCATAAGAGACTTATGATTTATGTTTCATTGACAAGAAAAAAAAAGAAAATTTTGTAGGAGACTTTTTTCTTTCTAATCGTTATTATAAATTGTTATTATATAGACTATAATTTACTTTTGTCATACAGAATAAAAAAATAAAAAAAAACATGAAACCTTTTCTTTTTCTTTCTGTTCATCTACTTTATTAAGCAATGTTTTATTCTTTCTTTTTCTTCGATTGAAATGAAAGGTTTACGATGCAACAATGGCACCATTACTGTTTTATTTCTGTTTGAGACTTTTTTTCTTTCTACTACTTTCTTGTTTCTTATGGCTGCTTTTTTTTTTATCGATGCCATCAACAAATATTTGATGAAGAGAGAATTGAAGAGAAATTTTTTCTTACTTTACTCACCTGCATTACTGAGTCATAGAAAAAGAAGAAAAAAAATAAGAAAGAAGCAAACAGAATAATCAGGACTTTTCATTCATTCAAACACATCGAACGGAATACTATTGTCGTCAACATACAACCAATATGAAGGTATATACCATAGAGAAGAAGAAAAGTTTGCATGGCTCTATTATAGATATATGTTTTTATCATAATAAATGTTACTTATGAGCTACACGACCTAAGTACATGTGGAGGCAAAAAAAGAAGAAAGAAAAGCTATAAAAATAACTTCCCTATATAAATGACGCATAAAAAAGATATTTTTTCCTGCTTAGCTAATTAATAATTCAATATTTGTTTTTTTTTATATTCTGAATAGATTCATTACAATCAAAGATATTTGAAAATATAATGACATTTTATTTCGGAGTACTCAAAGGTAAGTTGAATTTTCTTCATCTTATTTTCTTAAATTATCATCAAATAAATAGAAGTCTTTAACTTTTATTGTGACATGCAATTTTCCTAATATGATTTGATTTAAAATAAATGATATAAAGCAGAGTTCTTTCTCAAAATAACCGAAAGATCTTAAGTACTTCTATTCAAATAAGTCAAGGATTGATAGTAAACTAATAAAATCATTAATCATCTTTTTGTTTAGAGCCTCGCGGCCTCATTCGGCTGCTTCAATTTATATTTGCTATATTTGCTTTTGCTACAGCCTGTAATGGTAGTTCTTATCTAATTATAAAAAAAGGTTCAGACACAGGAGCAGTCAATGTTTCATGGTCTTATCCATATAAGTTACAAGATACTCAAATAAATACAAACCTTAACAAAAATCAATCAACATTATCAACTTCAAATAGCATTAAACCATCAGCTGAATTTTTTGTTTTTACTGGCGTTACAGCAATGTTAATATCGCTTGTATTTCTAGTACTATATATTGTAACTGATCGTCTATATCGTTATAATGAACGTATTCCTATAATTGATTTTCTTCTCATAATAATATGGACAATTTTTTGGATTGCTGGTAGTTCAGCATGGGCACATGGAGTATCGAATATACGATCACAAACTTCATTTAATTATGTATATAACCTTGTGCCGGACTGTTCTGCTGATCCACAATGTGAAGAATATGAATGTAAGATATTTTTCAATTTGTTCGTTGTTTTGAATGTTATTTGTTTTTTCTTGTACTCTTAGCTGGTACTTATGCCAATATAACAGTATCGGTAATATTTGGATTTTTAAATTTTTTACTTTGGCTTGGTAGTATGTGGTTTGTTTATAAAGAAACAAAATTTTTCAAGAGTCGTACAGCTCAACAATATCCACAACAAAATAATTTTTCAAATATTTCTGCTCCAAATATGCAACAACAAACTCAAACTCGAGTACCAGGTACTATGGGTTAAATAGAACAAAAAAAAAAAGATTAATCAAAGAAAGAACTGTTTGGATGTCTATTTGTTTTTTGTTTTTGGTCTCGTTTAATTCTATTTGAAATCTCACCTATGTAGGTTAAATACTTTGTGGTTTTTTTTATTCAAATGCTTGTGATTGCTTTTTTGTGAAAAAAAATTATTGTTTTCTTCTTGCTTGCTTAATTCAATATATATACATTAACTTTTTATTATCATAAAAAGAAAATCTTTTTTACTGTGTGGATAATTATGAAAAAAAGTTCTTTATGTTTTGTTTCGTATAATCTTGAATAAGAATTAAATTTGTTTTTTTTTGTTTCTATTAAAAATACTGATAAATATTTTATTATTATTAATGAACTTAAATTTGAATGTTTCAAAAGATTTCTCCTGCATTTTTTTACTTGGTTGAAACATCTTTTTTTTCTAGCGCTTGAAATTTCTGGTATCGCTACTCGAATTTTTTTGCTGTTATTCTGATGAAGTATTTGAGTAGCTTGAACAAGAAAGTCATATGATATGGACACATCTTGAGGCTTTGTGGCAAGCTCAAGTGCTTGAATCTCTTGTTCAAGCGTGTATCAGGGTAATCACAAACGAAATGCTTTATAGAACATATTATGAGAGGTATATGTTAACAACAAAAGTCTGCCTTCGTTGTAGGCTAGCGATAGCAAATACTTTATTTAATCCGAAAACGATATCTATGATGTGTGAAACTAATTTTAATAATGTGTTATACGTGCTTTTCGTTTTTTTCTCTTCAGTTTTACATTCAAAATGATTAGATTCATAATAAAATCCATAGATTAAAAAAAAAAGTCTGCAACAGGCAGATCGATAAGGGAATGTATATGAGTAAGTAGATTCAGGCATCCTCAATGACAAGGAGCAGTTTTTCATCTTGAACCGAGAAGCTTTTATTATTTTATTCTGGTTGATTGTTTCAAGTGTGTTCATTTGTATGATTTCCATGAGTTCAACGTATGAACTGCTTTAAATGTTCACATAAGTTGTGCAACCATTTAAGTAATCATCAATGGCATGAAAGTCATCTGATATGAACACATCTTGAGATCTGTACGGATCAAGCACATGAGAAAAAAAAAGCTCACTCTTTTTGTACAGATCAATCAAGGTTGACTCTTTAACCTTCTTTTATGAGAAATATCCAAGATCTTCATGTGCTTGCAGCAATACGCGCTTTGTTTCAATCGTTTCTTGAAATTTATCCAGATCAAGAAATATGCAATGTTTCCGGTTGAAAAACTCGAAAAAATTGTAGGAACTTGAAAGTAAGAATCTGTTGACTGGCTCTGTTTTGAACTAGAAAAAATTGATCAGTGAGTTTCCTGCTGCTAAGTTTCTAATATATTTCTGAATTTGATGGTCAAAAAACTTGCCTGAAGTTCAAGGATTCTGACATCATTTCGCATATGAGATATTCATTCTTGTTTGGTGTTACTTTTATCGTTTAGTATAGATTTTGCCATGCAGGAGATTTGTGTCTACTTTTTTTCATAATGTATATTTACAATATAATAAATAATCGAATCAATTTAATAATAATAATGAAATATCAAAAAACAAATGTCAGAAATACATTGATCGATGACTTTATGTCTGGTTTTTGTTTTCAATATAGAATAGAAATAAATAATGATAATTTATTTCCCATAGGATAGTCTAATCATAAAAAGTAGAAAAGAAAAAGGAATGTAATAATACTGAAGTGAAAGATTTTGTACACACATGTAAAATAAATGCAAACATGACATAAAGATAAATAGAAGAAAAACAGTTAGAAATAAAATTGATTTGGGCTAATTTATTTTTCTTTTCACAATGAAAAACATTATGTTTTTTATGTCGGGATAAACCTTTTGAAAGAATTATAACTATCAATAGGAAATATACGATATAATTCTCTTGTACTTATTTCATCAAATATTAAAATTTATTTGAATCGTATGTTGCATTAAGCATTATTATAGTCGAAACTTTTATTAAATTAAAGAGTAACAGAAATATCCATGGCGACGCCGCCGTAGTGGACATTCATGGAGGGTAAAGTCATTATTGAGCAACGAAGAATAAACAATTTTTAACTAGATGAAATTCTTATACTGTGAAAAAGATATTGTAATACAATAGAACTTCATGCTATATTATTTGATGTCGATAGTATAAAATATTCTGTTTGCATAATACTTACATAATAATCTCTGACACTTCTATTGAATATAAGTGTAGAATCATTATCGATGTTTGATGTTGAATAAAGTTGAACGCTTGGTATATATTGAAATGATTAATGATATATACATCGCCAATCGACATTTGACTATATCAACATTGATTTTGTCGATTGAAATACGAACTTTTCTTTTGTAGTCTCGTTGACAAATCTTAGTTCCAATTCATTTTTAGTAAACAAATTCTTTTTACTGATTCCACACGTATGGAATGATAGAAGAAACAGGCAATATTCTACGAATAAAAAAAAGAAACAATCATTGCTAAGAAGAGTAGTAGTCTAATATTTAACCTTCTTAATAACTAAATAACTGAAACAAAAAGAAAATGAATTATTTTTTATTACATTTATTTTAATAAGTTGCTTATATTGAGGTTTGATTAGTATAGATGAAATTCGTTCACAGTGAAATGCACTATACTAGCATAGCTTTTAATTCCAAACTAATTTTAACGAATATAGATGTCTGCGAATAAACAGGTAATAGACCTACAATAGGTGAATATTCATTCAGTGTTTTTTATGTATGTTTCGAAAAATGTCATTAGATCTTATTACAAAATGAAATATCTTCTATAGTTTAGAAGGCGTACTATGTAGAACTAACCTCAATACGTATATTTGAAGTTAGATTTTCTTGATTTATGAATGCATTGTTTTATGTTAAAAATGTTTTTGAATATCTAGAAGATACATGATGGGATTTTGTTGAATATGTTCCTATATTTGAAGGCTCTTTTCAAATGTGATCCGTGCAAATGTGCACTGCGTCAGACGTTTGTTGTATAGGAAACATAAAGAATTCGTTTAGAACATGGTGCAAAAGCGCTTCAATGTCACTCCACGATATATTTTCGATAGAGGAAACGACTTTTTTTTTCTATTAGCTGTTTCTCGAGGTTTTTCTAACTGAAAACTGATACGTTGCTATGATGATGAAAGCAACATATTGTCTATATTGAACTTATATATTATTATGGACATCAACACTAAAAAACAAATAGTAAGTCACATAAGTTATTTTTGAAAAATCTGTTTTAAGAAAGAAATCTTTTAAAACGTCTTTTGCTTCATGTATTCTTCGAGGATCTTTTAATGTGTCGAAGGCTTTAGGTGATATTACTTGCTAAGAAATATAGCTGACATGAAAATTATTCATCCATACAAATGCTCTCACTAATTAAAAAGTCACAATAAGATAGATGAATACATGCATAATTATTTTACTCTTTGTACTATTAAATCAAAATGAATAAAACAATTAAGTTATAAGCTATTTTATTATGTTATGTAAATGCACTTTTATAGACGATGTTTTTTAGGCCTAGGAGGTTATAGACCAATCAGACACTGTAGTCTGACATACTCTTTCAAATATACAGAATGTCGGTTCACAAGAAATTTAGGCTTACTAAATGAGCTATGTTTGACCCTTGTTGGATAGGTATCTTCTGAAAATGCCATCATATTTTGAAAATTGCAGGTGACTTGAATACATCTGGATTATAATCGATTTTTGAGCGATGGAAGAATCTAATTATATAGATTGAAATACAATTTACAAATATCTATAGCATATTAGTTATATTCGTATAAATTTATTAGATAAAATTTTCTTCATAGTCATCTGTTATTATTTTGTTGACAATTAATTTGAAATAGATGAGAATTATTTGCTGCACTTGTCCATATTCGTTCAGATAAGAATAGAATATTTGAAGTATACTCAGTCGGTGTTATATTACTAGAAACACGAGACAGAAATGTTGTTCTTGTAGTTGTCAGAGAACTCGATTCAAATGGTGCAGATAAACTTGAATTCACAAGTCTATGTGATGGTTGAGTTGATCAATAAGACATTTCATATGAATTAATAAATTTTTCACGAAAATCTTGTGTGTCTTCGTTTATTATTTGTTTTCTATTTGATGTTCCATGAATATGTCAGCTTCAACATGCACGAAGGACTACAAATGTTTTTTCGTTTAACTTTCCTGAAAGTCATAATTTTAAATCTAATTATTGTATTATAATGCATGGACATATTTAGAACTATGTGTAAAATTTCAGCCTTGCAGGTTTTATGAATCATGATAAATTCTCATTTCTTTCAGAGTAGTCACACACTATTTTTGCAATCTGAATTTGAACTCTCCCAGTACGAAGTAGGCTTCGTAATGTGTTCGATTATTCATTGACGAACTGAGAACGTGAGCTAGATCGGAACCCTATTGAAACATGTCTAATTTTCTTTAAATTGGATTTTGTGATTGATATAAAAAAAATGATATTTTCGTGTAAAATCATGGTGCAAAATAGTTGGCTTCAGAGTTCACATTTAGACCGAAAAATGGTGTGTAGCTACTCTGAAACAAAGGAGAAAATGTCATGATTTATAAAATCTACAAGACTGAATTTTTGCGCATGATCCTAAATATGTCTATACATTATAATACAATAATCAGACTCAAATTATGACTTTCAGGAAAGCTGAGCGAGAAAAAGCTTTCATAGTACCTCATGTATCTGAATTTCTTTTTGAGTTTTGTGTACATCGCGTGATCATTGCCCAAGAAAAATTTGTTTTTTTTTAAAGAACAATGTATAAATGTACACAGACTTCTTTGTTAAATATATCACACTGTGATAGTTTTATGTAGATTGAAAAGGTGTTGTTTTTTTTATTATCAAAGTTAATAATTTATAAATTTATGAAGTAGATGAAAGACTTCACTGCTACTAGCATGATCTCGTCCTCGAAAAAAAAAAGAATCTGAAAATACTGAAAATAGAATAGGTAAAGAGAGTTACTTTTAGAATATATAGGATGTCCAGAAAGTGACTAGACGAATGTTAGTGATTTATTTCAACAAAGAACTGTGACTCTTTAGAACTTATAAAAAAAACAATATAGCAGTTCTTATCAACAAAATATTGTTGTTTGGTGAGGACAGGCTGAGTTACAAGACATATAATGTAGTATAAATACGAGACCAAATCACGCTAATGCGGAGATGACTAATAATTTATTTAGGGAATAAAGAAAATTGATTTTTTTCATTACTCTGGAAAGATTTGTTAAAGCTATTTGCTAATACTTGAGAACAATTTTCGACAACGTCTCGTATGAACTATAAAGACTCATTAATCAGTGGTATACGTGTCAACCGATTAGATCAAATTATGCTAGCGATATTCAAATATTTCTTTGTCTAGTAACTTTCTGAATAATTTTTACAATACATATGAATTTTATACTCTATTTTTGTTTATTGATGATGGTAATTGTGAAATAAAATTAAGTTACAAAATATTTGGCAATTAGTTTAAAATGTTGTCCGGTGGACATGCAATAAGAGTGAAACTTGCCAACTATAGCCTTTAAGAAACCATCATGGAAACGAATATTTTTTAAATATTGAAATCTAATACAAATTCAAATAACAGTAGAGTTACAAAAATAAAGAGATTTTTTTGTGTAAATTATAATTATAATGTCAATAAACATTCTATTGCATAAATTTAGAAAAGAAAAATATCTAATGTTAATAATGAATCAAACAGAAAATTCAGTCAATCGTGTGTTAAGTCACATTCAATATATTGTTATTGATAGCAGTAGATTAAAGAAAAAAATTTCTCTTTATGAAAAAGAAAAATACTAAATTCTACGATTAGTTCAAATAAAAAAAGTAGAAAAAGTTTTGAGTACATCCAAAAACGATCTCGATGTCATAAAAATTGAATCTTATGTATTGCATTTGAAGTATAGAAAAACAAAGTGAAATAATAGAGTATTATTTAACTTTAACAAACATCATGGTCCTTTGAAATATGATTTTCATGGAATTTTATATGAGTGTGACAACGTATACTGATTACACAATATAACAAAATAAGTACAGTACATATTTTATGCAAAAAATTTAGAAGATAGTGCTATTGTATGGATATTTTAATAATAATAGAATTTTATCAGTGATTCATGTATATATACTTAAACTATGAAATTCTGAAAACATAGCCTGAAAATTTCAAGTCATAGTAATGTTTCATTATTGAATTTTTACCAACGATCAAAATCTACTAAATGTGATTTTGTTTCGGAATAGATTTCATATTCAATGTATTGTTTTTGTTTCCACATGCGGATGGAATGTATTCAAAACAAAACTAGCTCTTTCTATGACAGAAGAAATCAATTGTAAAGCTAAATCTTATAAGTGCAGATAATATACTCTATGAACAGGTAAGTCTTTTTCACCCTATAGTTTCATCAAATTCAATTAAAAAGTCCTCAACAAACAATTTTTTTATGTAATTCAATTTCTTACTGCGTAGTAAACTATATTCTGTAATTTCAAAGTTTTCATTAGTAAATAATAAAAGATTGTTTTTTTTTCTGTTCGATTCTGTTTGTATGTTATACAAAGATGATTGATTCAGAAAATAATCAAGTATTACATTAAACTGTATAATCCATAGCTTCAACAAGAAATCTCAAGTAAATTAAGAAAACAAACATAATCATGTCATTCGGTATGAAATACAAAAGCATAACACTTATTTTTCTAGGTTGATTGTAAAATGTGCAGTTGAAAGTTAATTTTTACTCGAAAGTGTCAATGATGATAACAAATTAAAGACAATTTTGTTTTTGATAAAAACTGAATTATTGTCAAATTGATTGCAACTGAGTGTGTTTTGATCATAGTTCGACACAAATAAGCATAAAAGTTTGAATTATTTTTCTTAAAAAATGTACCATTAAGTTTTATGTAAAATTGGAAGTGAAAATACTCCTGACTTCTCAAGACTTGCGCGATGGTGTGATTTCACATTACAACATATTTAGAAATGTAAACTAATCGGCTGAGCCGCAACCGACAGAGAAAAAAAAGTTAAAATTGACTCAGCTGTCTCTGCTGATTAATGGATAGGCTCACATCTCGAAATGTTGCATTGTCAAGCGAACATTTACTTGAACTTGTAGAACATCATCTAAGAAACTTAGTAGGATTTTTCAGATCTAATTTATTTGAAGAGAAAATTAAACGGCCTAGTTTTGAAAAGATTCAAGCGTTTGTTATTTATTACTAAACAGATATCATGGAAATTTGCGATGTTGCAAGCAGTAAGTCTCAACACACTATTATATATATTGATAGGCTCACAAATATTAATATTTATAATATCCCTAAGTTATAACTTGATCAGGTCATATGTATTCATCATCCTTGATATCTAGCATGTAAAGTTTTTCTATGCATAAAAATTAAAAAGTGTACTATTCAAAACATTCACTAACATATTTCGATCATTCAAATTTCTCGGAAGACTTTGCAATGCTCTAGAATTCTCTGGCAGAGTAAAAGTCTTATCGTTGATGTCGTTCAGTATCTGTTTGTCATTGCTGAGGAACTCTGGCAAAAGAGTCTGACACCTGTTGTCATCAGTTGTTAATAAACCATGTTCAATAACTTTTGACCACAGTTACTAAGGTTTGTAATAGAGAGTAGAGAAAAAAGCTGGAAAAATTTAACTGAAAGTTTACATCCCCAATTTTCTTCTGAAATATGTGTGAGTTCCAGCAAAAGGTAGTTTTGAAAAATACATATTGGGTCAGAAGACAAAATGCCGTTTTCTGAACTATCTGAGTAGAAGTTGCACGTTAACTATATCCTATCCTATTGTATAGCATAGAATAAATTTAGCATGAGAAAAATTTATGTCTTCAAAATAGATCTATCATTAAAAAAAAGAAAAACAAATTTTCATTGTCTCAAAACGTTTAAATAATTTTACGAAAAATCTTCCAAGTATAAAATCAAATCATATACGACTATAATTTTGTAGAAAATTTTAAAAAGAAATTTATTTTTAATTTAATAAAATTAATAAGTCTTCATCAAAATCTTTTAGAAATATTAAACTTTATATTTTAATTCAATTTTGATAATTCTATGAACACAAAAAAAGAATAACATACACTATAGTAAAAGATGTATTAAATAATAATGTGAATAAATTTTTAGTTTATTTTTACAGTGGCTGAATTTGTTTCGAATAAAGTCGTGATAAAATCGAACTAGAATATCTTAGTTTTGAATGAGATGCTGATGGAGTACGTGAAAGATTTTCTGTAGGAAGAATATTTATTGAAGGTGAACATAATGAAGTTATTATTGTTCGTGTTGGAGCAGATGAAGTTGATCTCGAACTTGAACTAGATAAATTATGTAATGAAATATATTCACGTTCTAAATATGAATCTGTTGATGGACTTGGTAATCGATTATCATTGGTGTTCAAATATTGTTGTCGATATTGACGTATATCTTTAGGTATTGTTGCTTTTGATTCATTTAATTTTTGATAATCATCATTAAGAATTGATCGTTGACAACATTTACAATGCATATCTTCTTGATAACCATAACGAGATCGAAGAATCGATCTAAAATTAAACTTTTATTTCTATATTTATGATCAAAAGAAGAAAAAAATAAATCTACCGTAAAGGATCAGGACAACATCGACATAGATAAGATAATGCTAGACAACTTAATAAAAATAATAATGGTAATCCAAGTCCAAGACCTAATGCGATTTCTAATGGAATACAGTTATATGGTGCATCAGTTGTTACTAAAGAAACATAATTAAATGTTTAATTAAATAAAATCAAATACAATACTGATAGATGTCGTAGTTATCGACGTTGTTGTTGTAACTGTAGTTGTTGTTGTTGAAGTTATTGTTGTTGAGCTTGTTGAGGTTGATGATGTTGTAGTCGATGTTGTAGTTGGTGTTGTTGTTGATGTTGTTGTTGTTGTTTCAGTTGATGTTGTTGTTGTGGTTGTTGTTGTTGTTGTTGTTGATATTTCAGTTGATGTTGTTGTTGTCGTTGTAGTTGTTGTCGTTGTTTTAGGACCAACAAAGAAATTGAAACAATATTGATTCGATGAATAATAATTACTATCAACAGCTTCAGCACAAAACATATATGTTTTACCTAATTGAGCCATTGTTGGTGTCCATGTAAGACTAATAGCATAAGATGTAGATGTTAAAGCAAATGGAAGATTTGATTTTAACATTCCAGGTGGACTTGATGTCATAAAATTTGTTATACTTGTATCTGTATCATTTTGACAACCACTTTGTGCAATAACCATTGCTGTATAAAGAACCGTTACTTGAACAGTAATTGTATCACCCGGTAATGGTAAATCTGGTGGAATACTTGTTATGACAGGTATATTTGTGCAAGTCGATGTTGGATTTGTAGCATCATATGCAAGAAGAAGAAATTGTAATGGAACAGAACTAAGAGATGTTGTTGTACTTGCAATAAAATCTTCTAATTGAATAGCTACTGCATAATAACCAATTGAAGGTAAAGTAACAATAAGTGTACATGTATTATTGCCTGATATTAATTGTGTTGATGCAGGTAATGCTAATGATTTACAAACATCATTACATTCATCAACAGTAATTCCACCTAATATATTTGATGATTTTGCAAAACGACATTCAATATCATCTCCATCAACATCATTCATTGGTATATCAATTGAAGTTGATAGACTAGAACTGGCAGGTACATAAACTATCGATGATATACTCGATGTTGGGGAACTATTAATTAAATCATTATCTACACGTGGTTTCATATTTATATATGTCATCATACTCCAACCGCCACTACCTAATTGTAATGTAAGCCATGCACCAGTGACAACATATCCAAGCACAATACCTGTCGATAATACAGTAAGATTTACTGTTGTTGAACTATAACCAAAAGACATTCCCAAAGCTGTATTATAATCAGTACATGGAACATAAGTAGAAATATCAGTTGTATATTGTGCATTTGTACATGTAGCTAAAGATGATTTACATTTAAGAGCAGATACAACAGTTTCTCCGATCAATCCAAATGATAAAATTGTTGAACTTGTACATGCACTAGCTGCAGCACTTTTAGACCATGCATATCGTTGATCAATAATAATTGTATTCATTGTATTTAATATAGATTTTTGATTAGTTGCTCGTCGCCAACTAATCATTCCTCCACGAAAATGACTATTATCAACAGGATTAATAAAAATAAATATTATTATAAATATTGAAATAATCATCATCTTAATGAAAATATTTATTTCGATAATAAATATATAGAGATTGAAATTTTTGCTATTATTTATATGATTTGAGACAATCAATTTCAATTTGTTTTTTGTTGTTGTTTAGGTTACAACTGGCGAAAAACAAAAGTCTTCATCTAAAATAAATAGACTGTTTTTTAGTAAGAAAAAAAATCATATTCATTTTCATCAGAAAAATCACATATTTGTATCAAATACAATATTCTATATCAAATAATGCTTATTAAATAATGTTGTTTTTTATATGCAATCCAATGTCTTACTGCATAATAAATTATATTCTCTAATTTCAAAGTTTTCCTTAGTAAATAATAAATGATTGATTTTTTTGTTCTATCCTACATTGATTTTATATTACTAAAAAACATATTGAATAAGAAAATAATCAAGTATTGTATCAATATGCATGTTCTACAACTTCAAGAAGAAATCTAAAGTAAATTTAGCACACGGGCATTGTCACGTTATTGAATATGAATTACAAAAAACAATAAAATCTATTTTTCTGTATAGATTGTAATATGTAAAATTGTAGGTCAATTCTTACTTGAAAGTGTCAATTAATAATAATGAATAATGGCGATTTTATTATTTATAAAAGTTTAATTTTTTTTTTTTGAAAAGATGAGCCACTGAATACTCTACAAAATTGGAAGTAAGAAGACTTTTGATGACTTGCACGATGATATGATTTCTCATTACAACAAGTTTAAAACGATCGGCTAAGCTGCCGCCGCCGCCGTCCCCCGCTACTGATAAATGTATCGACTAAAATCTGTAAACGTAACAAGAAAACTTTTATTATTGTCTATATAATGAGACATTAGAACTCTCAAAGTTTTTAAGAAAAAAAATTCGGATTCTACAATTGCTTTATGAAGAAATGTGATGTTGCAATCATTTTGATTCTCCAAGCAGACTTTGAAAAGCAACATGAACAATGTAACGAGTCGCCGAAAATTTGAAATATATATTCTTTGCTCGTTCTGTTCTAATTTCGAGCCCGTCAACAGGCATTAGATTCCGAGCAATCGAAAACTGTTATTCGATCGGGTACTCATTTTCGACATCTCGGCACTCAACGAAGTTCCGACTGCTAATTTCAGCTTTGATCATGTGAAACTTTTGCAAAAAGCAATTTTGAAATGTTGTTTTTTTATTTAACTACATTCGTAGAATTCTTTATGTTCGACATATATTTCATAATTTTCTAAGAAATCTTTAATATTACATGATGAAACGTAACAAGCAAGATCGAAATATGTCAATATTCTTGAGAGGAACATAATCATAAAGAATTTTCGTGTTTTAAATCTTTGAAAAAGTTTCTAAATATTGATTTTATACTTCACTACATCAAACTTCAATCTTCATCGAAAGCTGAATATGGAATTTTTCGACCGACAAACAAAAATTTCCAACTGTTCAATGACTTTTCGTCATTCAATCGGTCATAATGCTTAGCAAACAAAAAGGCTGATTTATTTTTCGTATTCCGGTCTTCATTTTTACCCAATGAGCATAGAATTGCGTAGAACATAGAGAATCGAATTTCGAGTTAAAACGACTTTTTTTACAACTCATCATGATCAAATGAATAGCAATCGTCACAAGCGATTGAACAGTTAAGAACATTTCTTTGTGAGTTTTCAGATAATCTATCAATGGTGTACCATATCTTACATAAAGTACCATCGATTGATTCTAACTCTAGCTTCCGAAAAATTATATTTATTTCTCTCCATAGTAATCATCAAGTTTTCATGATTATTCAGCAGTGAAGATAATTTCTTGTTTTCTTTTTATCAATCCTTTAGTTTTAATTCGAGATAATAATATTTTATTTAAGTGTACAGCATAAGATTATTTGACAAACAAAATATATGATTGATACATTATTGATTTCATTTAAAAAAAATATATATTTTTATGCACACAAAGTTTATCTATATAATATCTCTTGTGTTTATTCTTATCGGGAAAATGCTCGAATATGTCGAATAATATTACGTAATAAATTTTGCATTGATATTCGATTAATTAAATGTCGGAAGAATATTTTATCTAAATAGATTGTTGACATTGTTTCTTGAATATGTGATAATAACATTAAAAGTTCAGCTAAACGACGATATTTTGAATTTCTTGTATATTCATTTAACATAAATAAAGCATCTTTTCGATATTTATCAATTATAAATCGTTCATTTAATTCATAATTTGTTGCTAAAATATTAAATATTTAAATAAAGGGAAAAAAAAAGAATTAAATAAAAACATTAACTTACGAATACTAAAAATAATAATTAATTTAAGTAATGTATATTCTGTTTGATCAATTGAATGTAAAATTAAATCTTTAACAATTGATTGAAATAATAAATATTGATTTTCTTCATCAAATGATTCATTATCATCTAGAAAAACGAATAAGTTGATTAGAAAAATTTTTTAAAAACCTTAAAAATTTACTTTGATCAATAAATTTCTTCATTTCAGCTGATGTTAATAAGAATATAATTGACCATGATTGTTCAATTAATAAATATTGATCATATTCATTTAAATCTTTAAATGAAGGCACTAAATATAACCATCGAATTGATTCAAGTAAAATAAATGAAGCTGTTTCACATATAATTTCATCATTGCTAATATCTAAAAACAAAAACAATTTTCAATTTCTAGAAAATTCAAAAAAAAAAGTTCTTTTTTATATTTATAAAACATACCAAGTGATAAATGTGTTTCATCAGTATTAGAAAAATCCGATATAGTTTGTTGTGTTGAATCCAATGATGAATTAAATTTTTGTTGTTGTTGTGGAAAAATCATTCGAGACCATAATGGAGATGAAGTACTAAATACAAAGAAAAAAATAAAATAAAATATTTTGATTTGATTTCTATGATATTGTCCTAGGATTAATTCAAATATAAAATCTATATAGATACTAAAATAAAAAGATCGAAATTGTTATAGTTCTTTGGTCTCAAACTCCAGTTGAGGAATTATTTCTCTTGAAATGAATTCTTATTATTTTACTATCTTACTTGGATGATTGATAGAGAACACTATAGATTATACAATGGTATAATATGATTAATAGATCATGAAGCTATTGAAAGAAAATATGTGTGACATTAACTTTTCAAATTTATATATTTGATATAGGTAATAATGGATTTATACAGAAGAATAACATCCTTCATGTCTAATAAGTCCTGAAGTACCATTCGCGATATTTTTGCTCAATGTTATCGCCTTCCTTCATATTGATATCAATATCTTCATCTTTGTTTTGTTGATTTCTCAATAATTCATTACATTCTTCTATATGATGTATAGGTTCCTTTTATATAGGATCATCGTTAATATCTTGTCCCAGCTATATTTGAGTAAATATTAGAGTCCGTTAGATCCAAGATCAATCCGACAGGTTCTAGTAAGTATACTTCTTTTTCTAATCATCTCATCTGATAGTGTCGTTATGCTCAATGCCATCGTTAAGGAATATTGAGTTTGTAAATCAATCTATAATTTCTCTTTACAACTACACGAATAAGAGAAATTAATTGAATTACTATTGGCTAACGATATCTACTATGTAACAGATGCGGCAGCGAGAATTGCTAGCTGTTGATAGACTATTTTCTCAAATTCGGCTGACTTAGAAAGTTTCGTTCTGATTTTAGGAACTAGAGAATTTTATCCAACACCTTTGATGCTATAATAACAAAATATAGAAATAAAATTTGCATAAAATTAATTTCTAATCGAGCCTAACTTGAGAAAAAAGCCTCTCAAAAACTTGACAATTTCCTCTGTCGCATCCGTTATAAGAAAATATGAGAAATACGTCACAATGATATCGAAAAAAAATCAAGATAAGACAAGTGTCACGGATAGATAAGATGAATCATTATTTCCATTTGTTAATAGCTTTTTTTTTATGGCAAACAAAAAATAAACCAGACTTTGAGACCAAACAACTATACTTACCTCTTTTGATAAAAATAAATAAATAAACTTGACTTACTTATTAATGGCTAAATTTCGAAAGCCAAATGGCATTGTCACTTGTGGTGACTCGTTTACATACCCTGCAGCTGTTGGTGGTGTCCAACATTGCATTCGAGGAAGTGAAATAGAAGGAGGAGGTGGTGGTGGTGGTGGTGGAGGAGGAGGAAGAGGCAATGCTCGTTTAGTTGCATGACGTGGTGCTCGTTCATTTTGTACAGCTAAAAATATAAGCACGTTTTTCATTACTATTAAATACACTTCAAAAGCTTCTTCTTTTTCTTTTTTCTTAAGTATGATGATGAGTAAATAACTCTATCCTGTTCTTCTCATTCATACAGATGTCAATAATTCTCACCACTAGGTTTCATTTTCATTGCTAGACAACGTTGAAATCGACATGCTTGACATTGATTTCGTCGATTAACATCGACTTGACAAGTTGAATCACCTTTACATTTATATTCTATTTTACGTCTTTAATTAAAAAAATAATTCTAACAAATAACAAACAAAAGAAAAAAGAAAGAAAAGATTTACCGAACACTTCGCTTAAAAAATCCTCGACAACCATCACAACTCATCACTCCATAATGTTTTCCACTTGCTTTATCACCACATACAGAACATACAGATATATGACGACGATTAGTTGATGACGAAGTAGACATCAATGTATTAATTTTATCTAAATTTTCAAAAAAACATATATTGAGCTTTTCTTTTAAATCAGCAAGACAAAATGTTTAGAACAATAATTCTTAAATTGATCTAATTGAAATGGCTTCAAACCTTATTGTCATCATTCGATTATGTTCTCATAAGGTGACAAATTTTCTATTACATAAATAACACCTGTTGATCATTTCTTTAATTTACTTTTAAGATACCGCATCATTTTGCGGCTTGTGTTTTTAGTTCTATGAAATGACATCATCATGTTAAATCTCTCGCATATATATATATATATACAACCAAAGCTCATCTGTGAGAAAGCTGACAATCGCGAACACTTCTTTATTTTGATCCAAAATAAAATAAAGAAAGTCAAGTGAAGATGATCCGCTCGTTTAAAGTAGAATGTTCGGTGTTTTAATACGATCTTTCAACAACAATTATGTCACTTTTTTAAAAGTGGAATGTAATAACAATTATCTACATATACGCGCATCTAACGTAGCAGACATGTTTTTATAAATGCTTTTCACAAAGCGATACAACATTTGTGTTACTGTGTGATAAGACACATTTGTTTTCGTGCGAAATTCAGCACTATTCTTATTGTCAACTCATTCTTCATAATAAACAACGATCATCATCTTCATTAATATCAATTATATAAAGAACGTATCATTTCATAGATCGATTTTAACTTATAACAGATGTGAATGAAGATGAGATGATGAATCTGATCACACTTTTATTTTAAAAAGTTTGTTCTGATTTCTCTAACAAGAAACAAACTCATCTTACCTCAAGTATTGACAAATAGAGAGTATAGTTCTATACAAAGCAGTCAATTTTTTGCAAAATATTGAAATACAGTAAAGGCTTTTATAAATTTTATTTCTCTGATTTTCCATTTTTCAGCGCAACAACATGATCCTCCGTCACAACTCTACCATTTTTTAGTGGATTAACCAAAACTTCTCATTCTTAAGTCATTTTGCAGAGTAGAAGCCGCTCTCAGGTACTATATATTTATAGAACTTATTTATACGTAAAAAAAAACATAATCAAATATGTTGTTTTGGAAACTTTCTATTGTTATAATGAATGAGATGATCCACTTAAATCATAACTTTGATGAAATAAATTTTTCTCATAGAAATTAAAATCTATTTTTCATAATAAAAAAATAAAAAACTATAGATCGATGTGTCGAATATCAGATAAAAGAATGAAACATGATAAAAATGTCTACTTACACATCTTTTTTCTCTTACAGCGAAATGATCGGCATATACAAAAGTGAACAGAAGAAGATTATTGAGCGTTTTGTCAATAAAACGATGTGAACGCGTAATTGACTATGTGCTTTATGAACAGCAAATAAAGTGTGTGAGCTAAGTGGAGGAGGAGAAAAAGAAAAAAATGCTGATCAAATATGCAATTGAATATAAATATTGTCCATTATATTTAAACCAATGAATAAAAAGAACATCAAGGGAAATAACAAGAATTTTATCCAATAGGAAGAAATAATAAGAATGAACTTTTGAAAAAAAAGCAATTAATGTTCAAATTCATGGCATATCTAACCAGAAAAATATCCTCAGTTTCTGATCTTGAGTTTCGCTATAATTACTTGTTAGTGAGACCAACAAAATCTCAAATAGAGTAAAATATTATGGTAAAAAAAAAATCATATACTAAATTATGAAATTTCAAATCTGTAATAATGAACAATTTAATCTTTAGCATTTTTTTAATGCTTATGCAATAATTAAACCAGATATGACACAAACATAACAACTTCGAACAACATAAACAAAAGATTAAACCAAAAGTTCAACATCTCTCTTCATTGCATAGAAACAAGCTTAGAGAAAAACCGTTTTTGTTTCGTTATAACATGAACTATATCTCGAAAATCGAAAACTATGAACACAAATGCTTTTAAATTTTTCTTAATCTCACTAACGAGCAAACATCTCTAAATGTGAGTTTTCATTTTCGACTTGTTTTATGTCAGTTTGTAAAACTCAATGAACTGATTACAATGGCATATTGCATTCTGTCTTATAGACTATCATTTGATCTCTCAAGATTGAATACTTTAACACTGAATATATCATTAATTGACTCTAACATCCATACTATCATATCTTAACAAAGTCTATACTTTATATATACCAATCAATAATGAGGATATATGGAATTTATCTATTTCACATTCATATGTTGACCGATATAGGATATATATTGCAAAATACGTGTTGATCATGTTTCAATTACCTGCATAGTTTTGAAAAGAGTAGTTGAGTTCTACAAAAAAATAAAATATAATTTCCGAAATAATAACCTACAGTCATTTTTTTTGAATTTGCTATCGACCTAATTCTTTAAAGATAGTATATGGTGAAGAACGTATATTCAAAACTTTCATTTGAAATTCTGAAGCGAATAAGTCTAAACACGATTTTTGAACAATTTCAAAAGAAAAATAATGCTGTTAATTGAATCTTAAAAATTTCTTCAAAAAAATGCTAATTGATTGTTTTTATTTGTATAAAAAAAGACAAATGACGGTAGTTCTTTTTCAAATAAAAATAGATTTTATTTGTTTAAACAATATTAATGATTGAATCATGAATGTTAATATTTAACATCGAAACAAACTAACACAATATGTGAAAATCATTTCGATATTGATGAAAATAAAATATGATCTATAAAGACAATGAATAATATATATCAATATCTTAATGATAATAATTATCATTAAAATTTATCTTATAACAATTTAACTATCATTGATAATGGTATTGATGAAATGAAACTATTTCGACGCACTTTAACAATAAATTACTTTCAATGAAAGAAAAAGAACAATCGAATTAGCTACTAAAGATAAAATCTTTGTTAAACATACATTGCATATTTCACTTGTTAAACGAATATTTGAAATATAAAATATAAAATCATTTCACGATAAAACAAATTTAATTAATCATTATATGAATCTAATTTTGTTCAAATTGGATTTGTTATGGATATAAGATAATAAAAATATTCAATATAAAAAAGAATTTTATTATTTGTTTTTTTTAGTAATAAGATTTATGAATTACGTGTTGATGATATGCATTTTAAAATCTAAAAAACGTGAATTGAAGTATTAAAACTGTAGAAGAAACCTCTATTCTAACTCATTCTGATAAAAATTAAAAACAAATTATAAATCAAATTTTTGTATTGTTTCTGATTTATTACAACCATCGAATATGTGTTAATGACTATGTAGTATTGGATTAGATTTAACTTATGCAGATATAGTTTCATATACCATGTATTGTACGTCAAGTGATTATTCTCTTGTTAATGATTTTATTGATTTAAATAATTAAATGAATATGAAATATCTTGCTCGAACAGCTGAAACTATGTGAGGTTGAATTCCATTGAAAGATGCTATTAAATATAACGAAGGAGAAAATCATATTCTTAGTTTAAGTTAAATAATTATTCTGAAAAACAAAGCCAAACAGAATTTTGGTTTTGAATAGGATGTTAAACATGACGAGAATTAATATTTAATGAAAAATTAATGAAATCTTATATAGAAATAATTGATGAATGTTCGATTATGTAGAATCATTTAATTATGACATACTCGAGTGTGTAAGCATTTGAACTCGTAGAATACAAAAGGACTGCTCTTTTTTTTCTTAAGATTATGTAATCATTAAATATAAAGTGTACAGTCGATTGAAATTGAATGTATTTAAAAACGAAAGAAGAAATAACGATCATCGACTAGTGAAATCAATTATATTTTCGATTACCAATGCTATGATTTGTCTATTTCATATGTTTAACATGACAAAACAAGAAAGTAGATTGAAAGATCTTTGTTTAAAAAAAAACCGATGTAATCGTTGCTACAATACATATGCCGAAACTAGAAAATGTTTCATGTTGTTAATATTTTTTATAATTTTTTCTTCATTTTTCATTCAGGGAAATAAATTTGTATTGAAATGTTGAGTTTGAAATTTCTCATAAAATGATATAGCATACATGTAATGCATCATCATTATATACTCACATCATGTATTTCTTACTGTAGGCAGTTCGAAAATGATTGGTTTCCTATTTCTTTTTTTCGTCATCTTATTGCTCATATATGTTAAACTCAAATATTTTACGCTTCGTGGTCCGGTACCTGGTTTATCATCAAATGTATTTTTTGGAGATTTGATTCAATCAGGTTTATTATTTGGTAAAAAACCATCGTCTGAAGTCTATATATCATTCAATGAACGTTTTGGTGATATTTATCAATATTAGCTTGGCTTTACTCCTTTCGTTGTCGTACATAATATTGATGATATCCAATACATTTTTGCACATCGAAATATATATGACCAAGGAGAGATATTTGTAGAAAAATTCAACATTTTGGTTCCTAATAGTATCATTTGCAACATAGGTATGGTTTCTTTTTCCAGTTGTGACAAATAGTTTTTTATTATGATATATAGGTGCCAAATTCAAGTGGCATGGTGCGCTTACAATGCCACTATTTCGTCGTAGCAAAGTTGTTTCGAATATAAATATAGTTATTGACGGTACTGACAAACTATTAGATAGATGGTGTGGTAGATCATCTGGACAGGTGCATATGGATATTATCGAGCAGTGTCAAAATCTTCTAATTAAAATCCTTGAACTAACTGCTTTTGATTATGATTTGGAGACACATGATAACAATAATTCAGGAACTAAGAATGAACTAACTACAGCTCTACGACATATCATGAGTATATTTAGAATGATTGTATATACACCTAGAATCGTTTCAATTATCTATTTGAAATGGTGTTCTCGACATTAACGAGCATAGGCAATCGTCGAACGATATCTCAATAAGATGGTCGGGCAAGAAATGACTGAAAACCCTTATTCACTAGCACAACGAGAGAATATGTCATTTAGTCGAAAAGAT